TAACATATCAATTTAAGCTAGACTTTGGGTTGTTAAGACCTAAATTGCAGTATTCCTGCTGTGCTTCTCTTATTTGATTTGGGGGTTTTGGGATAATCATTTAAAGTTGAAATAATCCTGGAACATTGATATTTATATCGGACAACTTTTCATTCCCTTCTCTTTTGCTTTTGATTTTGCCATTGCCTCCACGCATTTGCTTACCTCAAACTTTCTGTCTTCTGGAAACTGATACAGATAAGTGCTTGGTGCAAGTAGAAGATGATTACATTTTCGGACAAAGAGGAAACAGAGTATTGGACAAGAAATGGAACAACATAAGTTCATGAAGTGAACAAAACCCCTTGGGACACTTCTGGTTGAGGGCCTGTGAGATTCTGAGGCAGCCTATGTTCAGATAAATACGTGTGAGCCGGTTACTCACATTACAATTACATGTTAAAATGTCTTAAAATGCGTATTCTGAGAGTTTCATGGAGGGGTGTTGTAACGGGTTGTATTATAACTTAACCTGTGGTTCTGGATTTACTTTTCGAGAGTAGCCATTAGAATTTATTTATATATTTATACACATATTAGTTTAACTTAATGTTATGGTTAGGTTACAAACCTTTAGCAGCCTTTGTGGGTTATGAAACCTACTTTTGAGCAATTCAAAGGATTTTGTTCTTTTCTGGTTAGCTGCTATAAATATGACATCATATCATACAAATTTGTGCTTATCTATTTAATTGATCATTGAACTTAATGGAAAATATAGAAATTCTATAGAGTCAGTGTATGACTCTTATGGAGCCACTTATAATTTAATTTAATTTACTGACACTTGTGAATAGTTTGGTTTTATAAAATATTATGTCCTTTGGGCCTAAAACTAATGTATTTTAGATCCAGTGATGTTTATATCAAATAAATTATGGTTTGTTTGGATCTATTCCTATTATCAGCATAATAGCTGAAGGGTATTGCAAGCTGCAAGGAAATGAATCTGGATTTCTCTATACGAAGCAAAATTAGCTGATAGGTATGTATATTTTTATAAATGGAGAAGTAGTGTGTTACTTTTCTGTGAGCCACATTCAGGAATCTGCTTTTGACATAAAATAAAAGAAGGAAAATTTCAGTTGAAATTATTTTATTTTTTAAAATTGACTAGTAGTGTGTTATTACTGTGAGCCACATTGGGGGATCTACTTTTGTTATAAAATATTATAAAGAAAAGCGTTGAATTTGGTTTTTCAGTAATATTTTTCCACTTATATAAGATCGTACCATTTGCAATATTAAAGTTGCGCTTTTAGTGGAAACTTTTGTGATTTACGGAGATTGGCAGATAATGTAATTTGAAACGCAAAAACTTGAATATTGTTCATATTACTCTTTTTCCATGCAGAGTATTATTATACAGTTTTTTTCCCCCTTTCTTTTTATGTAATAATCAATATTGGATATATGCTTCTGACAAGAATAAAATTAATGATACCAATATTTATGTTTTTCTTTTTTTGTATATATATATATATATTACTTTTAATTTAATGAGAAAGTTACACTAACTCCATCTAATAAAACTTATATGCAATAAGCCTTATACAGTACATCTCCCTTTATCGTACATGCATTATGGTAAGTGGAAAGTTTTAGTCTGAACTCAATTTTGCAGACTACAAAAAAGCTAAGTTCTAATAGATTGGTCCCCTTATGGCATTTAGGTAATGGCCTGCCACAATAATACACAAATAGGAAAAACGGTTGAATATTACGTGTCCGATATTTGCTTATTTATTGATGATGGAGTGAGATTTTATGTCCTAATTTTATATTTTATTTCGTGTTTCATTAAATTTAACAAATGACACGTCTACACGATGATATCATATTTTTATACAAAAATAATTGCCTTTCCTGCTTAATAAGTTAAGCAGAACCTCTATTTAGATAATTCAATGCAAAAATATATTTTTTCTCAATGCAAAAATTATATATTTTCTAATCAACCATACGAACTTTACGTTTTGGTTTTCACGTTTTCTCTTCCGGACTAGAAATTATACAAAATATGCGCTAAAATCAACTGTAAAAATTGGTATCTCGGGTCAAAGTTTGATTATCCAAAAAAGTTGGTTTTATGATAATACCATTGTAGTGTAGTAAAGTTTATTTAGACCTAGAAAAGAAAGAAAGAATGAAAAAAACTTGACTCTCGCACATATGTGACCATACCACTCAATTTCATTTACATATTTGCACAATTCCAGTATTTAATATCTCTTAGCATATATGTATTGTTCTGTATAGTTTTCAATTTTTATCTTTCTCAAAATAGGAAAAGTGGGGCGTCCTTTTAAATCAAATCATTACCTCAATCTAGCTAGCTATCAATGTGAAGATATATCTTTTAATTTCTACCAAATGGAGTTGACTGTGTGGTGTCGCAAAAACAAAAGATGGACACCTCATCAACTGATAATAAAACTAAAAAAAAAAAAATATAATTAGTGTGTTTTCATGCATACTTCCTCTACACAAAATTTCTAAAGAGATGGCAAAAGATTTCACATGATGGTTTCACATTCCAAAAATTCCACTTAATGCTTCATTTCCCAAGAGCATTCAAGGCAATGCATAAACTTAAGTCCCCAATATGCTCATACAAATCTATACTAAATTCTAAACATCAATCCATAACCATGGTTAAAGGGAAATTAACAAGGTCTCCTCAACAAGAATAGAATAAAGAAACCCTAAAACCCTAATTAAGGCAACATTTTAATCTACAATTATCGAATTTTTTATCATTGGATTAACATATACATCTTATGAGTATATACATCTGTGAATGTGTTGATTCAACTGTAAAAAAAAAAATACTGCAATCATTACCCTTAATCCATATGTATGTGAAAAACAATAAAAAATCAGAATGCTTTTATTGCATGCAGCCAAGAGAACAACATGGGAATTTAATAGAATGAGAAAGTTCATAAGGAAAATAGTTTCTCAAGAGAAGGGATTCATCATAAACTAATTATTACATATAGATTTAGCATCCTAAGCACATGCATAGAATCAACTAAACTCCTCTTCAATCAGCTATATATATAACTAGAGAAAATTTTACAAGGGGGAGTCTGCATAGCTACAAATACAATGAAGTGGGTTCACATCTAAAAGATTAAAAATAAAAAAACCCCTACTTCAAAATTAAGTCAGCAACATACAATAAAC